TAGAAGACGGGAGAAACTTTTAAATAATTTCTTCCGAGAGTGCGTTAACAGACTTCACTTCTATTCCATACTTGCCTTCCAAACATGTACTCGCTCGCATAAACTTTTCTGAAGGCGAAAAGCTATACTAACTACTTCTGTAAACTAAGGTGGAAAATATGGACGTTCTCATCGCAAAAAATATGCATCAGTTCTGTAATAACAAAATCGAGTTACAGCAGAATGAATAATATTTGCGACACGACATTCATTCGACTTACAGTCAATGGACTTAGTGAATCATACGATTCACGTTATTTATTCTTTTATTTTTTGAATAAACTAGTCTATCTATTGTCATGTGGCAGTGTGACGGACGTACATACATATAGTCATGTGACAGTGTGACGGACGTACATACATATGGCGACCAGCGAGTGCGACGGACGTACATACATTTGTATCGAGAGATTTCACATCGTGATTTGGGTCTACAACTCGTGTCGTCAGTAATTCATGATCATCAACTGTACATTCGCCTTTTCGAAGACGTTGAAGAAGTTGCAGATATCTTGAGTCACTTGTTCTCATCTGCTTTTCTAACTTTACTACAGTGTTTATTTGTTCCCACAGTGCTCGTCCCAATGCACATGTAGCAGCACGTATCTCTTTGATTTTTTTCTTCTTCTGTGTTTTATCGGAAATAATGTCGGAATACAATGCCTGATCTCCCACAGGATCGTACTGGATGAAATCTTCAAAGAATATGACGTTAATGTCTCCAGATGGTATGCTTGGACCGCAGTGCTTGGCTAGCGTCAACAAACCACCAAGTTGTCCTAATAAGTAAAGCCCCACCATTGACATCTCATTAATGATTATGTATCTAATATGTTGCCATTCTTTTTCGATCGTTGTTCGTTGAACTCCGCTTATCTTTTTTAGATTTCTATATGATGTGAAAGAGTGTATTGTGAGACCGTCAATCTGGGCTGCAGCATTCGATGTTGGTGCTAGTTTTCGTAGTTCATGACTGCGTTTTGTTGTTGAAAAATATTCTGTAATTGCATGAATCAATTGAGATTTTCCTGTGCCACCAGGACCAGGTATACACATTAATAACTGATCTTGCTTATCGTCTGAAGTACAAGATGAGACAGATATTTAAGATCAGAGACAACAAAATTAAATTTTACCTTTTCCAAGTGGTTGTCTCCATTGATATGATCGGTAATGATCATGAACGCGCGAGTTTGAGCTTCGTCCAACGTGAATTGTTTGGATATTTGTTCCTGGTGTTCCCGGAACGATATGGCTGTGACGCTTGTCACTTGTTCGGTTAGTGATTGAATATCACTTTCGTCGTCTAGGTCTGCCACATTTCGATTTACGTCCATCGCTTCCGCAAGATTTTGGTCTTCATGCTCTCGTTCTTCGCCGTTTAGCATCTTCTCTCTGGCCTTTTGTTTTGCCTTATCCAATTGTTTCTTTCAGACCTTGTTCAGTCGAATGTGACAACTTGTGGCTTCTTTGTGGTATGATTCTGTATACGTAATGGAATTTGTCTGACTAGCCGTCGTTGCTGCTGATAAATGAGGGGTTGTGCTTTGATTTTTTGTAAAAGAAAACAAAAAATATTTCATTGTTCGATGTGTATGACACGACATACTTGTCGAACGTGAAAATCTACCAGTTTGTTTAATCGAAAGAATGGCATCGTGAATATACGCATCATTTGGCTTCATTGTTTGTGGATCGGGCTCAGACAACTCACTCGTCATATCATAGTTGAATTCCAGTAGTGCAACGAGATCTTCTGAGTCATCCATCTCGCTTAGGTCGTCTCGAGCAAAATTTTTCGGTATATAGACCGAGTCGATATTGTCATCCGCTGCTTTTGTTTGCTCAATAACTTGAATTAAATGTTCGTCCCGATCTTTTCTACACTCATGCAACAGCTGAATATTGTCTTTGACGATGGCAGGAAAAAGCTGGCCTTTAGTTTCAATGATTGGTCCCACGTAATACCAGCTTGACATAAGTCATCGACACCTCTCCAGGGTAAAAACAATATCAGAATGGCACGAGCATATCGTTCTTTCGTGTCTTCTCGATCTTTTCGAGGGATCTGAGGTCCAATCAAAACGGGTACAACCGTACCTGTACGCTGGATCAAGATGTGAGATTCGTATTGCGGATGATTTTCTTTGAATTTCAGCCTTTGATTTGGTTGTGGGCCACGTTTTTTGATTTGAGATCCAGATTGTTTACTTTCTGCTTGACTGTCGAAATATGTTTTGTCCGTTTTATCAACTTTTTTCTTACGGTACATACCAATAAAATCGTATAAACACGTCTCGGTTATTTCACTGGGGCGATACTGGTAATCAATTCGCATGTTAACCAACGCATAGTTGTTCGGAATGTTGGTCTGTCCAATTGAAAACTGTTCATTAAGATCATTCGTTTCCACCTCTTTCACATTTACGTTTTCCTCGGTGTATGATACGTCCATTGTTGTACCTATAAAGAATCATCTTTGTAAAATATTTCTTTTATTAAGAAAGATAGCTGCTTACTGTTTGCGGTTGTAACTTCAGAATTTCGTTTTTCGTGCAAGGATTTTTCTAAATAACTTTCAATACCGATCAGGAATAAGTTTTCAAATTTGTGAGATGTATAATGATCGTGCCAGTTCATGAGATACGACGCCACTTGAACTCCGGATAGTTCCTGTTGTGATGCTATTGTATTATAGCATCGCAACACTAATTTGCGAGATCGTTCATGGAGGTCATCAGTCGCGCCCGATGTTGTGTGCTTGTCGATCGATTTCATGGCTTTATGAACCAATGAAAAGGTATCGTGGGCTGATAAACTGGTTTTAGTAACGTAATCTGTAATGTAATAGACTAATGCCTTCGCATCCGAACCACTCCATATGAATTTTATGTCCATATTTGAACGACAAGCAACGATTATAAATTCATTGAAATTATTTATAGTTTCATGACTGCGTTTCATTTTGATTTGTCCAGTTTCAGCATTTATCGTTGTTTCTGGTACTAACGCTCTGGGCATGCGCAAACGACATATAATACTGTCATACTTTCAACATGTCTGAGTATGTTTGTGAGTATTACTTTGTTCAGTTAAATTAATCACATCTTTTTTGAATAATTGTCGAAAGTTGTGCAAACATAGAGCGGGCGTCTTTAAGCAAGCAGCTAGTAATGGAGGATCTTTTGAGGTTATATCGGCTATATTTTGAGAAGATACTATAATATTTTATTATATACGTTTGAATCTCATACGTGTTTACCTTGCCAGTGCACAATAGTGGACTCTTGAACATTTTTGAGTGGTGACGGGAACATAGTATGATAATCGCATGTAATGGGAAGTACTGAATTGACATAATTGTGATCATGCGGACAGAATATTGGTGTCACACAACTACATACTTGTTTTTTAAATTCAGCGAAATTATGACGAGAAATATTGTAGCAGTAATCCCAGGGATAAGGAGGAGGTGGACGACACGGTGGATAGTGATGATATTTAGCTGAAATAAACAGAGAGACCTAGGTGGCTTCATCATAACCCTTATGTGAATCTGACCTGCAAATTCTTCGTCTTCTTGAGTAGTAGTGGAATCATCCTCTCGTCTGAATTGGTCCAAATCTTCCTTGATTACATCTTCCAAATACTCAATGAGACCTTCTTTGAATTCGGGATCTTTGATATTTTCTTTTAATTGTGATGGTGTCATGTTGTGGTCAAGCCATAATAAAATATGAAGATGTAACGATCCACGACCTTGGGTTTCAACAGTTCCATAGTGAGCTTTTATCGGGCCCAGAACACCACCTTTGACTAATGTTTCCAAAATGTTTGTTATTAATAAATTGAAAAATTTGGCTGCTGCCACTGGATGCAACGCTACAATCTGCGCACGGTGAAACGTGGATGGGAAAGAATCAGTTAGTATATGGTCGATGTTCAAGTTGACACCAGCGAAGTATAATGCGATAGGGCTGTGAACGTCGGTCGGGTTGATGGTCATCAATATGCTAGGAAGACCTTGGCTATAAATGAGTGAGTGAATTTCTGTTCTGAGAGCAGCACGTGATTGAGGTGATCCCATCACTTTTCCTCCAACGGTTTTAATTTGTTTTAGTAATGTATTTAGATTTGGATTAGCCTCTGACGAATAAGTATTTTTTGCAATATTGCCGAGGGCTTTTAGAATATCTTGACTTATTAATTGTTGAATTTGATTTGCAGCGTTTTTATAATATGGATTTGAAACCATCAGACGCGCATTAAAACAGACATTACGTTTTTGCAGGATGTTAAACACTACAAACATAAAAGAATGATGCCTTTCAAATCGTTTGTCACTATACGGTAGAAGATATTGAATGTGTTGTTTGAATGATACTTTTACCGGTCGTGTACTCAATAGCCCCTGTTCCATGCGGAAACAAACTGGGAAATAAGCCTATAAAGAAAACAATACACAGCGATCATGTTTTGACTGTGGTGAGTTAGGAGATAGTTACCCAAAAGTAGATTTGGATTAAAATATTCGTTGGTTGGCTTTGATGAACGAGGTATCATGTAGACTTTTTCTTCGTTTCTCGACACATCAGTTATCGAGATTTCCGCTTCATTCATTGGCGTTGCATCCATTTGGGATATCTTGTCTTCAATCGGTATGTTATTATCATTCGCATACATTTTCTTCAGGTGATAATTGATTTCGTCGGATGATACATTTGTTGCGTTTACATCGACCAAAGCACTTGTACTGAATGGCACATCATCAACGTTGATATTGGTCTGTTCCAATTGAACTGAGTCTGTTGATGGTGGATCAACCACATAGCCATCTCTTTCACTGTTTGCTGCCTCTTGGTTTATGTGTAATGCATTGTGTCTAACAACGGCTGTGGCACATTATCTTCCGGTAACTCATTGACGTTCTTCATATCAATTGTGATATATTTGTACAATTCATTATTGCTCTTCAATCATGCCAATGAATCAAAATTTTTTTCCGTCGTACAGTAAGAACTTTTTTCAAATGTTCGGGTTTTGGTCGTTTTGAACCAACAAAAATAATTTTGATTGTGTCGCATAAATCTGCTAATGATAACGGGAGTGTTGTTGCAATATCGGAAACGTTTTGTGGGAATGAAATGACGTTTCCTTTCAATGCACCCTGTGCTGTTGATGTATCATGGAATGGTGTTTGAAGTTTAATGACGCAACTGTTGTGTAATGCAATTAGTTTTTGTTCTGGAATGGTTAGATCTTCAAGTTCTTCTGGTATTGCCCCAATCCACATTTTATTCGCAACGGAAAACTTTGGAACTGTCGGTTTTCTTTTGTTTGATAGAGAAGACCAACAAATCGAACAAATGTTGCACTTTGTGCTTTCATTTATCGGTGAAAGGTCTCCGTTCTTCGGCTGAATCCCTCTGGTGTATAATGCAGCTTGATTAAAGAAAACCAAATTACCTTAAAAGAGAAAAACCGTTCGAATGAAAATCAGCTAGTAGAGGTTGAGAAGAAAAAGTGTGCCTCGTTAAAATTTTGTGTTTATATGCAGTGAACTTACCTGAACTTTTACGTGCACCGGATAAATTCTCAGCCGGTATCAAAACGTTTAAATTGGGTATGGTAGATAAAGTTGGATGCTTCATATCCCTGAGGTATGAACAGGTATTACAGATTGAGCAAATGGCTTCGGCTAACCAGGGCATAGACATATTTTTCACGAAATTTTGTAAGCAATGTAGCTTTAGCTCACGAGGAACTGCGACCGCCCAACATGCACGTTGTTCCATATTCAATATCCGCATTCGGTGTTCTATCTCTGCTTCTTGTGCTCGCGACACACGTTGTCGTTCGCGATCTTTCTGTGTACGTTTCTCATATCGATCATCGTCTTCGTTTTGACGCGAGATATACATGTGTTTTCGATTTTGTTCTATACGTTTCTCATATTGATTATCGTCTTCGTTTTGCCGTGACAGACGCATACGTTCACGATGTTTGTTTTGCCGACTTTGCTTCCATGCTAGTGTTTGTGTATCTGATGTTGCCTGTTGCTAAAATGTGCGACTGCTTGATGGAAGTGTAAATTGTGGCATACGAACCGACTTTTGTTGATTATTTTTGGTTGTATTCTTTTCAGGTGTCTGAAAAAGAGAAGCAGATGACTAAGAATACCATGGAAGTTTGTTATTCATGCTTACTTTATTTTCAAATTGTTGGTGAGTAGTGCTGGGAGTGATTAAAATGCATGAAGTTGTAGCGAATGTATTGTTAAGAGATCGTCAAAGAACTAGCGGTACAAAATGATTCGGAATCCAGTCGCCATTACTTTTCTTTCGTGCTTTTTGTTCATTCAACGTGTGAGTTCACATGATAATGATTTTGGTTGATGGTGGCGAATGATAATACTTAGGGATCATTGTTGTGTTACACACGTCGAAGTGTGGATGATATTCAATTCTAGGATAAACACTTTGTATTTGACATTGAAGAATGTTAGAAAGGGCATCGATTTCGAACAGTTCAGAAAATTCATAATTCTTGCACATTGCTTTGATACGTAAATTTAACGGACCAACAATTCTTTCATATTTAATGTTGTAATAATTGTAATTCATTGCTAATTCAACGATGGCACGAACTCTCAATTCTTCGGCTATAATCTCAGATGGGGACGGCATTAATGTTAGAATAGAATTGTACAAACAATTTCCATTACCAATAGACTCAACGGGAATAAGATCTAGTAAATTAGAAAGGTTACATTTGGACAAGTAAACTTGTGCCACTGTATCAAGTTTGTGTAGACAAGCATCAAAATGTGTTGTGGGTGTATACGACAACGGTGCCATTTGTATTGTTAATCTTTGGATGCGTTTTGCAACAGTGAGAATCTGATTCTCTGCGTCATATGCTGTAGAAACTTGTTGTAAATTTTTTAACAAGTTATTGAATTTTTCGAAACGGGAGAAACCACGACATTTAGTACAGACTTCAGCGTTTGTGACCGAACCGCATAAGGCACAAGACAGTTCCGTTGTATAAGTTCAAATCTCTATGATGATCAGTATAATTTTGTTAAAGATTACTTTACTAAATTAGACGTGTTTGAATATTTTTAATCGTGGACTACAACAGTAGATGACTCTTATAGCGAACGCAACGTAATTACTGAAGATACTTCTTCGAAATCTGTAAAAAATAACAGAAAGTTTACAATACGTTTTTTTTCAATACTTAATCTATTGAACAGCGAAAAATATATGATACAGAGAACGTTGATAAGATCAAATAAAAGCCTGATATACGTTTATTAAAATATTGTTCTTAGCATAGAAAAAAAAAAGATTGAGAAAACTGTTATTGGAAATCCATTGTGCTTAACTGCAAAGCCTGAACATTAACGACGCCTGTAGTCCAATACATGTCGTTTCTGTTCGTCGTTTAAACCATAAAAAGCCATTTTTGGGCTGATGATCGAAATAAATCTGCCTTGAATCAATATCTATCAAGATTTGTCGCGCCTAGGTACAGCCTCTCTCTGGGCAGAATATCATCCAGCTCTTCTTCATCTATACCGTGTTGCTCATTCAATTGCTTTCGTTCCTCATCGAGAATCACATTGTCCGAGTCTTTGCAAACTGATGCTCGGTGTAGATATCGCATGTGAAACGCAGTTGGTTCGAGAAACTGAAAATCTCTTCTGTACCATTTCCTCACATGGAGCAAATAGGCATGTGTCATATGAGGACGTAGCGAATACACGATGAACGTTTTCGTGACTAATGACTGAAGAAAACAAAATGTAAAAAGTAATCTTTTTCCTAGAAGAAGAATGTTTGAATTAATTTTTTAAGAACGAAAACGAGAGATACACTATACCTGTATAACAAATTTGCGTGATACCAATATCAAAGTTATGCAACAGATAAGTAATAGAACAATTATCTTTAAAATACATAAATTGCAATTTAATTAGATTACGAATTTGGCTGTTCGATTGATATTCCTTAACAATCTTAGAAAACTGATGCTGTGATTCAAAATACGTTTTTAGTTTGTCAGCCGTTGCTGTTATTTCATAAAAAAAGTCAGTAAGTGAGCCTCCTATGAAACAGATATTTACGTTTTGATCAAGTGTATCATAAAATGGACTGTTACGTAAAGAATTGCCAACCGCACCACCAGCTACTATAAATTTATCCGAATTGATTGCTGGTAACCATGATGCTGATAGAAATCGTGTCGTTAGATTGTGTTCGAAGTCGCCAAATTTTGTAGTAAATGACACGCTCGTGCACGGTGTTTTCTGCTGTTCCGATGAAAAGTAGCCAAAGCTGTAATAAAAGAAAGTGAACATCGATTGTTAATTCAATAGTATATAATACAAATACAACCTTTAAATAGTTCCTTTTCATGCACAGACAGTGTACGATTTGTGAGGATGAGGGTGAGGGGAAATTATAAAGTATATTTTTCTGTGTTTTGGTTGTAACGTTGGAAACGCGAGATTTCACAATTGTCAGAAATGCGTGGACAATATGTGTGGAAGAAATAAAGAAGAAGAAAGAAACGTACAAAGTCTGATGTGTCTTTTTTCTGGCATATGGAGTCGAAATAGATTTGGCTGGAAATTTTCTGCAGACGATTTAAAGAAAAATCTCTTTTGAAAGTTACTTATTAGCATAAGGACATGACTAATTCGAAAATATCTCTGCTCAGGTCTTTTCCGTTACCGAGATAAGAGGCATTATTTCCTAAAAACTGGCTCTTATTTATTGCTTCAAAGGCAAGATTGGTGAAATTGATTATTTAGGGAGCTGTAGCTTTATACTTAGATTCTCTGGCAGTTTTATAAAAACGTCTTTCGTAGGCGGCGAGAACGCGCAAATTTTCCAAATTTTGGACTTTTTCCACTTTTAACCATGTCGGACTTCTGATTTTTTCACAATTTCTACCAATGAAAAGTAAGCTCGCACCTGGCAACATGTCTCTATACTGTACTCGGTAACGGAAAAGACCTGAGCAGAGATATTTTCGAATTAGTCATGTCCTTATGCTAATAAGTAACTTGCAAAAGAGATTTTTCTTTAAATCGTCTGCAGAAAATCTCCAGCCAAATCTATTTCGACTCCATATGGTTGTTATCGACGGCATAGAGCTTCAACAAATAGCGATTTTCTTTTCTATTATCTTTTCTTATTCACGTTAAATTTATATATAGTGTGTGCTCACGTTGCAATGCACGGTGCATATATATAACATACATCAAGACTGTTGTCTGCAGACATGTGCATCGATAAAAAATTGGCACGTTCTTCGCGCCCCGACTGTATCTGTACGTTGCCGTATACGAAAAGACAGAAACGCGCTGCACGCTAGATGCCTAAGATAAGAACGTACTAACAAACATAGTCAAAATTTTCAAAGGGTGAGGAGAGTGAGTCGGAAAAAAATTTTCTCAGCCCTCGGCGACGACAAAAGTTTAACGACATGGCGACGGCGGTGGAAGTCAGAACAGTTTTTCTCCGCTGTCAGTGGTGGCGGCGGCGAAGGGGCGCGGCAGCGCACATCTCTGGTTGTCTGTGTAGAGTGATGTCACTTTCCTTCTTTTCCTTAGTGTGTACGAACGTTATAGGGAAACGTGACAGCATGTAAAAAATAGTCAGTTCGTTCAAATACATAGAACGTTTTCTAATGAACTCTAATTCATTAACGAATAGTCCTAATTCATTGAAAATTATACCAACATACAGTTCTACTTTGTCCGCGTCTAGTGATGCATTCGACATTCGTATTCTTTCAGTAACCTAATTTTTTGTTGTTTCTGCCCCTTTCCAGGAGAAGCAGTGGATAACGCACTAATTTTTGGGGCACACGGATGTTGCTGAACGCACTTCTTTTTTTTCTCAATCACAGCCATCATCCATCGTCATAGTTATGTTGATAGACATTTTGGATTTGTTCAGGGATTTATGTTTGTTTTTTTTCTTGTTTAGTCATCGTCTTTGCAAAAAGTGAGTCGTATGATCTAGAAAACTACTAAGTGATTACCAGTTCTTTAAAATATAGAAGACACGCGGAGGAATGATTTTAAAAGTTTTTGGGACTTGACACAACTTGCCTTGATGTGACTGAGAAAATGAGCCTTACGCGAAGTACATTTGTGTTCATGCGTTTTTGATGCCTTAAAACACTTTTCGGCCTAAACTGGGCCAACATTTTTTGCTTTAAGACTCTGCAGCGACACTTTACTTCGAGTCATAATCCATCACATTAAATAGTCGTTTTGGTCGAAGAATGGGTGGATTACGAGTGGTAGATTGAACCAAAGTTTTTCCACGTTGATCTTCTTATTTTAGAGAAAATTTTTTTTACTGTCGGATTCACAACCCTAGTGAATGCCAAGTACTTGCGCAAGTACTTGGGTTAAGTAACGAGGACAGTACTTGTAGACTTTTCCAAGTAAATTTACTTGTCAAGTACTTTCTCAGGTACTTGACAAGTAAAATGTAAGTACTTGGCTGACACAGTGCAAGTAAATTTACTTCAAAAAAAATACTTATTTCATTTATCTTCATTTTGTATTTTGTAGGTATTCTGCAGCCATGCTCTACTTTTGTAGAGCAAATACATGCAGGGCTACTAAGTTTGTTCAACTCAGTAGAAATATATAACTTCATTTTATAAGTGTATAATGGTTGATATTGTGGTGTTTATATACAAGCGGTCAATGCACAAGAAAAGGGTGACTGACTTGTCCAAGTACTTGGCTGAAGTAACTCAAGTAACGACACCTGGCAAGTTCTTCTTCAAGTACTTGCCAAGTGTTTAATTTGTCATGTACTTCCCAAGTACTCATCAAGTAATCAAGTACTGGAACCAAGTACATCCACTAGAGAAGACATCTGTGAGATACCTGGTACTGTGAGATATCCAGGGACTATAGCTGTTAGTTCCCGTAAACTTGATTACATCATGTTCTCGAAGAAAAGTCCCAGTAAAACATGGTGAAATCAGCATCCCAACGGGCACAAAACATCTCTTTGGAAAGGTACTTCTTGCCTCTAAAAGGGTTTTAGTATTCCCGGATTCAGCTGATAACTTTGCAACTCGAAGCATGACTTTTAGAAATCAAAAACAATAATTCTTTTTCGAAGCCCAGGTCGTGAAAACAGATAGAAACTTTTCAGTAGGGTTCTCGCGTTTTCCAGCTTTTTACTGTACTAAATTTTATTATAATTACAGATTCTTTATGGCTAGATCAATGACCGAGCAAAATGAGGATATCTCTGAAAGTGTATATTTACGGTCACTAAAATGAAAAGGGTGAAATGTGGGTTGAGCATGAAATTCAATATAAGATCATACAATAAATAAATAAGGTTCGGGGAGCTCTATCTGAAGTCAAAGAGTAATTATTTCAGATTAGAAAATTTGTAAAAGATATTTTATATCAGCATAAATAAAAGAGTTTCAAGGGCTATCGAACAGTATATTAGAATTGCTTTAGTAAACGTCGATTGCTCTCAGAGATTCGGTTCGCTGTGGTGTGTATGATAGAGAAGCGTTTGTCGTTCTGTTTTCCCACAAAATGTTGACTAAAAGAGTGCTCTACCACTGTTTTCGGCACTCGAACGCTTCTTTTGGATGTCTGTGGAAATTGACGACACCCAACACGATGTTTTCTCTACGAGAGTTTGTAGAGAATTTCAAGACCTATCGAACAGTGTATTATAGAGAAGAGCTGAATGTTCTGTATTCCCACAAAATGGTGACTAAAGGAGTGCTCTACCGGTGTTTGGCACTTGAACGTTTCTTTTGGATCTATGTGGAAACTGACAAAAGCAAA